GTTGAATTAAATGTGTATGCATTACTTTATAGTCTACCCACAATAAATTCCAGTCTTAATTGATCTTAGCAAGTCAATGGTCTTCCATTTCTTTTAGGTTAACTTGAGCGTTTTCCACACTGATTTTGTTGAATTCTAAGATCAAACCAATTGGTCCAGTGTATATTTCAATCGAAAATTTCCAAATTGGCATCTTCCTTCCTTCCTTCAATCACCTACCCTACTATCAATTAATGTATGGTTCATCCTTCCTTTTTTTTCTCCCAATCTTTGATGTTCACTTTTATAACATTTAACATGTTTGGTCGCAGTGATATATAAGTTGCTAGGTATAATGGTTCGGAAAACTCATATAACATAACCAAAATCTTACATGTCCACCATATTTCCTTCACATACACTCTCTTTGTCTTTGATTTCATTCTCATCACTTCCAAAATGATGATTTTGGGTAGAGGGTCCTTTGAACTTCTTCTCTATGCGCTTATGATTCTACTGCATATCCAAACTTCCATTGGATTCAATTCAACAACTGCTAATGATGAAACTAGGAGCATCAAGAGCGAAAGAGAGGCGCTTCTCGCATTTAAGCGAGGTCTGGTTGTCACATATGGCCGGCTTTCCTCATGGGGCAATGAAGAAGAGAAAAGGAATTGTTGCAAATGGGAAGGAGTTCAATGTGACAACACAACTGGGCACATCATTGTGCTTGATCTTGGTGAGTTTCAGTTAACAGGTAACCTTAGTTCTTCCCTATTTGAGTTCCAACATTTAACTTATTTAGATCTCAGTTGGAATAATTTCAACTTAAGTCACATTTCATAGTCAATCGGTTTACGCAACAAATTACAACATCTTCATCTCCATCAGTGTAATTTAAGTGGATCTCTTCCTAATCAGCTTGCAAACCTCACAAGTCTGCAATATCTTTCTCTTGGAGATATTAACTTCAACAGTGTCAAAAATCTTGAGTGGCTGTCTTATCTTTCTTACTTGCAATCCCTTGATATGAGTGGAATCGACCTTAGTAGGGGGTTACCAATTACTTGCTACAAGTAATTCATAAGCTCCCTTCTCTCACTTCCCTTGATATAGGAAGCACCAATTTGACTACTTCCCCATTCCAATCGTTGTTAAAATTCAACAACAGCCTTGTTTTTCTCCAACTCACAAACAATTCATTTCAAGGTTTGATTCAAGAAAATCTCGGTCACATGATGTTAAAATATTCATCACCGACTTAAGCTAAAAGGTGAAGAAGTAAAAGTCTTCTAGAAGCATATATTTTACTATAAAGTAAATTGAAGCCACACAAGAATATATGATGCAGAGAAAGCCACGTTGCTTGTGTGTCTAGTTTTCTTTTGTATGTATGGTAAATTAAAAACAAAAGAATACTCTAGAATATGGACAACCGGTGTACATCACTAACTTTTGTAAGTGAAAAGAAAAATGAAAAAAAGAAACAAGACAGCTTTTGTGCGTGAGAAAGTTTTCTGCTATTTTTCCTCTATTTGTCAACACATGACTTCTCTGGAAACCCTTATTCTCATCGACAACCAATTTGAAGGAGGGATTCCAAATCATTTGGGAACCTATGCAAATTAAGTCTCTAGACCTATCTGGTAACAATCTGGACGGAATGCTTCCTGAAATCATTGGTAATTTATCAGGATGTCTACAACTCTCCTTAGAAGCTTTGATTTTGGGTGGAAATAAAATCAAGGGACCCTTGCCTGATATGATAAAAACCTTCTCGTCACTGCAAGGTTTGACTCTTTCCAACAATCAACTAAGGGGGACTTTGCCCAAAAGTATTAGGCACATGTCAAAGCTTGATTTCTTAGATATTCCTTCCAATTCTTTTAATGGAGTGATCATTGAAGCACACTTCTTAAAACTATCTAAGTTATGGTACTTGGACATGTCTTTTAATCCTCTTAACATCAACTTTAACCGTGATTGGATTCCTCCATTCCAGTTGTCTAATTTAGTACTTCAGTCGTGCAAGTTAGGCCCGACGTGTCCAAGCTGGTTAAAGACCCAAAGAAAACTTTCTAATCTTGATATCTCTGGAAATGAAATTTCAGATAGCATCCCAAAGTGGTTTTGGAACCTATCTCCTACAATGGATCTTTCTTCCAACCAGATCCATGGAATTTTGCCAAATTGGTCAACAAAATTTTCTTTTTCTTTTGGCCTTGGGATAGATTTGAGTAAAAATAAGTTGGAGGGTCCATTACCAGTATTCGTCGTTAATGTTACGCCCATAAACTTGTCAGAAAATAGGTTTCTTGGGTCAATTTCTTCTCTCTGTACAGTAAATGCTGAGATCCTTGCAGTTCTTGATGTTTCGAACAATCAATTCTCCGGGCAGCTTCCTGAATGCATGACGCAATGGACAAGTCTAGTGATTCTGAATTTGGCTAATAATCATTTACTTGGAAAAATTCCAAGCTCTATTGGATCTTTGGCTCGCCTGGAATCGTTAGGTTTGCAAAACAACAGCTTATCTGGAGAAATACCTCGGTCTCTAGGAAATTGCAGTGCCTTGCAATTTTTGGATTTGAATTATAATAACTTCTCTGGAATAATACCAGCTTGGATGGGAGAAAGGCTAAGTTCACTAGCTTTCATCCTTCTAAGAACCAATAATTTCAGTGGAGACTTTCCTTGCAGCTATGCTGGTTGACAAATATTATGTTGCTAGACCTCTCCAACAACAATCTGTCGGGAAGCATACCCAGGTGCATCCAGAATCTGACTGCATTAGCTCAAAAGGAGAGTTCAGCCCGTAACTATCTTTTTAACAATTCAAATATTAATGCTAATTCCTGGCAGATCGGAATATATAATGACGAAGCATCTGTAATGTGGAAAGGAATGGACTGTGATTATGGGAATGGAAATCTTAGGAATCTCAGAATCATTGATCTTTCAAGCAATAAATTAACGGGAGAAATTCCAGTCCAGATATCAGGTCTCATTGAAATGTTTCAATTTGAACTTATCAAGAAATCAGTTGACAGGAAGAATGCCTGCAGATATTGGGCAGATGAGAGAGTTAGAATCACTTGACTTGTCATGGAACCAGCTTTCGGGTCATCTTCCTGAGAGCATGTCACAATTAAATTTCCTCAGCACTTTGAATTTATCACATAACAACTTTTCAGGGAGAATCCCATTATCAACCCAGATGCAGTCCTTTGATGTTTCTTCATTTGTTGGTAATCGTGCACTCTGTGGGCTTCCTCTGACACCAACAGACAATGGTGACAAAGAAAATCAAGAAGACAGAGCTGAATTCTGGAAATCATTTAAACCGAGTGTGGAACTTGGAGCGGCCATCGGCTTTGTGGGAGTTCTGGCTATGAAGTTAGATCATCCATGGAAACATTTCTGTTTCCTATTGTTCAACAACGTGAGGGTCCGCCTCAGCAACTTGAAGGACTACCTTTATTTACTTGTAGCAGTAGTTGGTTTGGTGGTGAGAGAGCATGTATCCAGGTTGGGAAGAAAGTTGAAGTTGTTTGAGCCATCAATCCCTTCCTAGAGGCCGGCCAAAAGATCGGTACATATTTTTGCTAATCTTGTTTAACATCTTCATTACTTAATTATAAAAAGAATAACAGAGCAACTAACTTCTTATTGTTGTTTTTCAGGTTCGAGATGTTTCATGTTGCATGGATGTCTTCCCTCTTTCCACATCAATAAGTCCATGCTGAGCAGGACATTGTTTCTTGCTTTATTTTTCTGTGTGTTTGGTTGAAAGGTCTGTTTAAATTAAATGGTTTGTGCCTTATTATTTTTCTTTCTATCATCTATTTTGTAATAATTTGCTTGAAACTGATATGCAGTATGGATTCTGTAGTGTGTTATTTAACCGAGTTTGATGTTTTCATTTTCCATTTTTAATTGAATTCCCAATTTGCTTTGGTTAAAAAGTTTCCAACTTTGGATGATCTGGAGAGAAACAAAAAAACTCAGAAAGTCAATATCTATAAACCCTAATTTATGGCTCTTATGTTAAATTAAAAATATTATCAAATGGTGAAGAGATGTGCGGTAAAATTAAAAACGTCCAGGCAATCGCCACCCTCACCCACTTATCTGAGCAGAGCCTTTTCGTGTTTCTTCACAACATTTCTGGAAATGGAGGGCCCGAGATTCCTTTCGCCAATGAAGGAGGTAATTTCTGGTTCTCACTTCCCTTGTTTCTTCATCTCAAAAATTCCAATCGCACTTCACAAAACTATAGAAATGGCCGTTCTGTTTTCAGTGAGTAATTTCAATAAAATCTTGGCTTTTCAACTTGTCTTCCGGTTTTTGAGTTAAAAGGGCTGCTGGGTTCGTACCAAAGGTATGTTCTTGTTTTGTCTGTGTATTAGGTATGTGCTGTTTCTGTTTACTTCGAGTTTAATGTTTCTGTGGAAGCAAAAATGCTAGCAAATCACTTCAAGTGAATTGTATAATTAGAAAATTATAATGAATTATTTGCTTGTTCCTTTAATCTTTAGAGAATCTAATTACTAAGTGGATGATCCAGTAGCTGTCATGCTTTTTTTCCCTTCCATTTCTTTTGCACACGGAACCAGTTTTGGCGCTAGTTGTAGTAGTTATGCCATTAAGAAGTGAAAGTTACAGTAATATAAAATGGGTTTTGATTTAATTGTGCAATTCCATATATATTTTCTCTGTTAGGTTTTTGATGTAAGGATTGCTGCTTATAACCAAAAATTGAGTCTTTGTTTGGAGCATTTCCTGCAAACAACATCTATAAATGGGTGCATCTGTCTTCTAATACTATTTTAATGTTTGCTTTCACCTAATAATGTGATTCATTCATGAAAACAGCAATGCTCTAACAGTAATTCATTTCCCTTAGTATCTTTGATGCTTCTGCATGTGATGGCAATTCTGCTTTATTTAGGTGCCCTATAAAACCAACATGTCAGGTAGATGAAAAACACATAGATGGCGAGACCGAAGAAAATTATGATGACAAACAAGTCAATCATGACACCGATGCTTTAACAGTAATTTATTTCCCTTTTTCTCTATGTTTGATGCTTCTGCTTCTTTTTATGTGCATATCTATGCTGACAAAGCATTTGTCTGGTGGAAAGGATTTGAGTAGTGTGATTTTAATAAGTTCACAATTTTGAGGATATTGATCCATCAAGCATCAAATTTAAAGGGGAAATTCCACAGCAGATATGGAGTCTCTTTGACTTGGTTCAATTGAATTAATTAAGGAACCATTTGATTGGAAGGATTGCACCAGATACTGGACAATTGTGACAATTTCAGTCACTCGATTTGTCAAACAATAGACTTTCAGGTCAGCTCTCTTCAAGCATGACCCTTTTAAGTTTTCCAAGTGTCTTGGACCAGCCATATAACATTTTTTCTAGGAGAATTCTATGCGGTACCCAAAGTGACACTTTTAATGGTTCTGCATTTGCTGGTAATTCTGCACCCTGTGGACATCCTCCATTACCAACATGCCCTGGTGATGAAAAACCTACGGATGGTGGTGTCAAATACAATCAAGATGAAGAAGACGAATTCTGGAGAGGCTTCAAACCAAGCATGGAACTCAGATTCATGGACCGTCATGAATTCCGAATTTCGGTGCCCAATCTTAGTGGTCTCAAAACAATTAGTTGCGCGCTTTAACTGTTCAAAAGCAGCCCCAGGCCATTGCAATCGAATTGGTGATGAAGGAATGCATAGATTCTTCATCAACAGTACACACTTCTTTTTTGTATATTTATTAACTTAAACAGGGATTATTTGTTTGTTAATGAAGTTTGAAGAAAATAAGCATTATAAGATTGCATAGTTGCTCCAATCATCAACAAATGGAGTCATAATAGAATATAATTAATACTAAAACCGTATGAACACCTAACTTAGAAAATTAGCAATATATAAAGTAACGATATTGTATTTAAATTTATAAATTTCTTTATAATTTATTGATATGAAAATTTTTTACTCATATATAAATTATTGTATTTGACCACGTAATGACTGATATATGCGGAGGTATATGACAATGTATTGATTATATAGTCGAAGTTTTTTTTTTTTTTTTTTTCGCTTATTTAGTAATCTTATTCGATTTATGTAGAATCATAAATTAGATATTTCGAAGTTCAATTTATTAATGTATTATTATTATGGTTAACATCGTAGCTGCTGTCGACGTGGCAGCATCATTATGTTAACTGGAATTGATATCATCAACGCGCATGGTGTTATAATAACAGTCTTTTAGCCTGCACTTTTAAATATAAATTAAAAATATTTTTAATATTAATTATTATTAAAAAATAAAAATTAATTTTTATTTAATTAAATATTTAATTTAAATAATTTGTATAATATTAATAATAAAATTAATATTAATTTTTATTATTTTTAATTTTAATTAATAATAAAAAATATATTAATTATACTATTAACCTATAAAAAAACTAAATTAAAAAAGCCCTTAAAATAAAGAGCCCACAGTTTCTTTCACAGCTCAGCTTAGTCTGTCTTGTTTGTCATCATAACAATCTCGCATTCTTGCTTAATAGATGACCCAAATTCACTTTCCATAAATTCTATTGTCTATTTCAAAAAGGAAAGTTTTAACATATCTTCACATGGCGCAAAATAAAAATATATTTATTATATTTTTTTAATTAATTTACATTAAAAAATTAAAAAAATAATTTTAATTTTATTAATTATTTAATTAAAAGTATATACGTGACAAATTTATTTATTTTTATAAAAATTAAATATAAAAAATATTATTAATACACCCTTACAAAATGTGATACTTTTACTATTAGAACTAATTGTGAGACAATTATAAAATATTTTCAAAAGAAGAACAAGAAAGGTCTTTCTTCTAAAAGTTGAATGAATTTTGTAAATATGTTTACATCATAAATTGCAAAAATTTAAGAGTATGTCACGTGTCAAAAATTTTTTAATGGATGAAGGTAATTTAGCTATCTCAAATATGCAATTTTAGGTCCCATGACAGATTAGGCGCCACATAAGGAAAAAAGAGTTGAAAAGATATGATTTTATCTTTTGGTTGCCTATTTGAGTCACATTGGGTTTGTTTTAACTGAAATTTAGGAGTTGGTTGCAATTATGGATGTGGGTTAGCTGATAATGGGATAGGTGGCGAAATATGAAAGGAAATCTGACTCTGTCAACTGCTGAAGTGTTCCACTTCTTCAAGAAACTGCCCATGATTCTAGTAACTGCAAAGGGTGGGAGTTGCAAGCAAGGAAGAGGAGAACAAAAGGAAAATTTTTTATCATTCAATATAACACCAGCCTTATACACAACGTGACAAATTTTCAAACTTTCAATTTCTCTGCAATTGCTCACTTTCGCTTACAAATTTCAAATTTCAACACAATTCCCAGTAGATTTAGATTGTTTTTCATCATTCCAATAGTTAAATTAGTTCATGTATTTATTTTAACAATTTTGTTTCATGTAATAAACTTCAAGTTTTTGAATTTCTGCAAAGTACTGTTCTTTTTCTGACTAGTATGAATTTAATGTTTATGATAAGTAGTGTTTCATCAAATAGTTACTTATATAGCGTTCACGCTTCTTCTCAAATTTGAGCATGTTAATTTAGTCCCTATTTGTATTTGTTTCAGTGCTAATTAGGGTCAAATCTCCAATTTTGCAATAGTTTAATTTTTACATCGATCTGTAAATAGTAGTTTAATTTAACAATGAGCATGCTTAATTTAATTTGGGTACATCCTATTCTTGCAAGTTTACTTTAAATTTCAGTCCATTTAGTTCAATTAAGATATGCTAACTTTGATTCATGATAGTGTTTGAGTCTTTAGAGTTATCCAAGGCAGATATAGTAATCCATTCTGTAGGAAGGCATCTCTCCCTCTTGCAAATCGTTTGTAGGCACAGATTTTAATTTTAAACCAACATTCTTCCCGTCATCTACAAGGACGTTGACTATGAAGGAGAGAGTCGTTGGGAAAAATGCCCGCATCCAGATTCCACATGTGCAAAGCCACTTTAGAATTTTTGAAGAAACAAAATATTATAATTGAAAATGGTTTTAAAGTAAAATTTGAACATATCAAAAGTAAAGATAATTATTTTGTTGATTGACTATGTAAATATATTCATTCTGCTCTTGTGTAGGATTAGAACATGATGCTCGATTTCAAGCAAAACCAACAATAGAGGCAACACCTCTAGAGTTAAGTATTGTACAAAAAGACTCAATTTGGATCCAGTTATTGATTAACTCCTGAACAACATCCAAGAGAGTTTTGGCAATTTGAACCTTTCTGAGAATAATTTAAGAACCTTAACCTAGTATTTGGGAAAATATAATAAATTTAATTGTTATATTCTAATTAAGGGGGAAAAACCCTTGGAGTTTGTTCCAAATACAAGATTTTAGCCACTTTATAAAAGGTTTTATCTAATTGAAGAAGTTATTCAATTTGCTCAAAGGCAACTTGGAGACAGCTTTTTCATTAGCCCTTATTTTTCTCTAAATTTTCAAGAACCTTCAAGCGGGGCAATGACAACCACCTTATCCCCACAGGTGGGTGGAAGACAATTAATTCTCCCACTAGGAATTAATAAATTTTAAATTGAATGATCTTCTTCAGCTTCTACAACTATTCTGCTAGTGGATGATACTAAGAGGCAACTTAGGATGTATTTCAATCATTTTCTTCTTGTTCAAGAAGAATATTTTCATAATCATTAAATCTTAGACTCGTTTCTCCCTTATAATTTTGATATAACGTGTTTCGAGTGGGTACCATTATGGGTCTACTTAAAAATTTAGTGATGTTCCACTCAGTTCCATTTAGATAGATTGAATCTAAATGTTGGGCTTGAATGGCCTTAATTCCCTTTGTCCATATATTTCTGTTTCCTCAAAAATCCTCTAGTGGCCTCGCACGTGTGAAATCTGGTTGTGGGCGTGCCACTTACTTTGATGAAAGTAAGAAAGGAGGACTTTCCCAACGACCCTCACCTTCCTCACGGTCAACCTCTTCATAGATGGTGGGAAGAACATTGGATTAAAATTGAAATTGCGCCTTCAGACGATTTGCAAGAGGGAGGGATACCTTCCTGCAGAATGGGTTACGAAATCTGCCTTGGACAACTTCAAGGACTTAAAACACTACTGTGACTTAAAATTAACATATCCTAATTACTCTAAATTACCTGCAATTTAAAGTAAATTTGCGAGAAAAAGCTGTGCCCAAATTAAACTAAACATGTTTATTGTAAAATTAAAGTGCAATCTATTGACAGATTCAGAAATTAAATTGCTGCAGGACTGGAAATTTACTCCTAAATTAACACTAAAATTTAAACGTGAACAGTGAAGAAATTGAAGAACTTGAAATTGGAAAGAAGCATGAAAGCCACATAAGTATCATTGAAGCAATGCTACTTAACATAAACATTAAATTAATTATAAAT